GAGAGAGTGTGTGTGTTTGAGAGAGAGAGAGAGAGTGTGTGTTTGAGAGAGAGAGAGAGAGAGAGAGAGGGAAAGCAAGTGAGTGAGTTTTCAAGAAAGTTTGAGAGATGGAGGGAGGGGGGGATAATTCATCAGAGAGAATCTTGAGGTTCTAAAATCATTAGATTGTCTTCAAACTACAATATATAACCATATCAGTCGTACATCAAGTGAGAGGATGCTCAGCCGATGCTAACACTTAACAAGGTCTGGAATTCTCACACTGAGATTAACACAACAACTAAAAACTGGTGGGAAGGTGTCAGCACCAGGACTTAGCAGGTGGACTGACCTCAAAACACTGCACCTGATAATTCTAGTACAACTGCTTTGGCCACCACAGAGGAAACACATTCATTATCTAACATTGAAGTGAACCTTGGATCTGACAGCTCTCCTCTTTCACCTGACAGTACACCTGACATTACTGCTGGTACACCTGGCAACAGTCTCCATCTGCTGACCCCAAGTCAGGTTTCTCCATCAGTGGTTGCTGTATCTAACAGTCAGTTGACTGACACTGTACTGAACGAGTGTCTGGCCAAAGCACAAACAGGTGGGATATATCTGGTAGAGCTAGACGAGGTTGTGGAAGAAAAAAGAGGCAGCCACCCATGGTCATCTCATCTTCCACCAACACAGCTCATAAAAAACACCCACCAGGTACATCAGGTCCACAAACAGCAGAACAGAGAGAAATCAGCAGTGAATCACAAGAGGTGCAGGAAATAGGAGTTCACCCTCCCAGGCACTTAGGCAATGCTCCCGCTGTTACCGGAGGGGAACACCACTAACAGCTAACTGCCTGCACGATACCAGATGCAATTACTGCTACAAGAGAGAACATCAAGAAAATCACTTCATAACAAGATCACCAGTTCCTTAGATATTTATTCTGGGAACAAACCAGCAGGATCTCAGGACTGGTGAACACACACATCACCCATCCAGCTGCTACTCTCTTGACCTAGCATGTGGTTCTGTGCCTTATACAAAACCAAAATGTTATGTCCCAGTGGTGGCCTCAGCATCCTAACATCATTGCTGTTGTTGAGATATTTTTGGATGACAGGACTCCAGAAAATTTTTCTAGAATTGCTGGCTACACCTCATGGATGAGAAGAGACAAACAAGGACAAGAAGGAGGTATTGCTTTGTACTTATTGAAGTTACCATCCCTAATCACCTGAAAATGATGTTCTTCAAGTTATGCATAGATCCTAGTATGTACCTCTATACTAGCATGTGCAATGTACAGACTTCATTGACAACATGCAGACCCCATCAACTTTCTGATGGAAAATGTGGACTCCCTTCTGCTTCACCATTAATGTCAACATATTGGTGACCTCGATCAACAATTATAATATGTTGACATTATACAGAGGTATTTTAATGGACTTCTTGCAGTGTTTGACATGAAAAATTTCATTGACTTCCCTACTCGCATCTCTGGCTCTTCCCTCCCAACTCAGTAGTGAGTGATCTATCTGAAGGTATACAGGAGAGTCCCACTTATACAGCAGGTTAGGTTCCTGGCTACTGAAGGTATACAGGGGAGCCCCACTTATACAGCAAGTTAGGTTCCTGGCTACTGAAGGTATACAGGAGAGCCCCACTTATACAGCAGGTTAGGTTCCTGGCTACTGAAGGTATACAGGAGAGCCCAACTTATACAGCAGGTTAGGTTCCTGGCTACTGAAGATATACAGGGGAGCCCCACTTATACAGCAAGTTAGGTTCCTGGCTACTGAAGGTATACAGGAGAGCCCCACTTATACAGCAGGTTAGGTTCCTGGCTACTGAAGGTATACAGGAGAGCCCAACTTATACAGCAGGTTAGGTTCCTGGCTACTGAAGATATTCAGGGGAGCCCCACTTATACAGCAAGTTAGGTTCCTGGCTACTGAAGGTATACAGGAGAGCCCCACTTATACAGCAGGTTAGCTTCCTGGCTACTGAAGGTATACAGGAGAGCCCAACTTATACAGCAGGTTAGCTTCCTGGCTACTGAAGGTATACAGGAGAGCCCAACTTATACAGCAAGTTAGGCTCCTGGCTACTGAAGGTATACAGGAGAGCCCCACTTATACAGCAAGTTAGCTTCCTGGCTACTGAAGGTATATAGGAGAGCCCCACTTATACAGCAGGTTTGCTTCCTGGCTACTGAAGGTATACAGGAGAGCCCCACTTATACAGCAGGTTAGCTTCCTGGCTACTGAAGGTATACAGGAGAGCCCCACTTATACAGCAAGTTAGGTTCCTGGCTACTGAAGGTATACAGGAGAGCCCCACTTATACAGCAAGTTAGGTTCCTGGCTACTGAAGGTATACAGGTGAGCCCCACTTATACAGCAGGTTAGCTTCCTGGCTACTGAAGGTATACAGGAGAGCCCAACTTATACAGAAAGTTAGGTTCCTGGCTACTGAAGGTATACAGGAGAGCCCCACTTATACAGCAGGTTAGCTTCCTGGCTACTGAAGGTATACAGGAGAACCCCACTTATACAGCAAGTTACGTTCCTGGCTACTGAAGGTATACAGGAGAGCCCCACTTATACAGCAGGTTAGGTTCCTGGCTACTGAAGGTATACAG